CAGAGAGAGAGAGAGAGAGAGAGAGAGAGAGAGAGAGAGAGAGAGAGAGAGAGAGAGAGAGAGAGAGAGAGAGAGAGAGGAGTGAGAAGCCATAGCCGCTCTCTGGATGAGATTCGTTGGGTGTGTGTGCGCGGCAGAGCCATAGCCATAGCCGCTCTCTTCGGAGAAAAATTGCGATGGCTTCCATGACGAAACGAAAAATTGGGGCAGCTAAGGGATCGCCTTGTCTCACTGATCTTGACATTGTATAAGGGTTGGATAGGAAACCATTTACTTGAACTATACCTTGAGCATCATTATATAAAACTCTTACCCACTTATTGAATTTTGGCCCTACACCCATTTTTGCCATGCATGTTTGTAAGAAGTCCCAGTTGACCTGATCGTAAGAATTTTCGAAATCGAAAAAAAAGATTGCGGCTGTAATTTTCTTTTGATTTATGATTCTGGGATGAATCCTGTCTGGTCTAAATGGAAACATCTTCCTGTGAGATGGTTGATCATGGAAGCTAGTAATTCAGCTAGGATTTTATAGGCCATATTCAGCAAGGATATAGGTCTATAATTCCTAATGTCTTCTTTGTTCCCCTTTTTGTAAAGGAGGGTCGCTACTCCCGTACTTAGGTCTGGGCCTAGGGATTCTTCAGCCCATGCTTTGTTGGGGTCCTAAATAGTGCCAGCTTGTTAGCCAAAATTCCTTAGTTAGTCCATCTCTGTCTGGCGCATTATTCAGTTTCATCTCCTTTAGCGCTTGATGCAGTTCCTCTAGGGTGATTGGTTTCTCCAGGTGTTCGGCTGACTCGGGTGATAGGGAGCGGTCCAGATGCGTTAACAATTTATTCCTAGCTCTTCTAACTTCATTACTTCGACCTGCTGGTGTTTTACTAGTATACAACTCTTTGGAGAAGTTGGCTGCAATGTTGATTAGCTGAGTGGTTTCTGAGGTGGGGTTGCCTTTGGAATCTAAGAGGCTCTCTATTTTCAAGTTTCTCGAGTTGGATTTTATTTTCTGGAAGTAGTATTTGGACATCTTTTCATTCAGTTCCCAGTCTCTCACTCTAGCTCTCAATTGGAGACCTTGAAGCTTCAATTTGGTCCACTCTGAGAGTTCTTCCTTGGATTTAGAGTATAGCTCTGAGAAGAAAGTTGAGCTGGAGTTGAGTTGTAAATTGAGTTCAGCCATCTCTATTGCATTTTTTAGTATCTCTTCCCTTTCTTTTCTTTGGGCTGCCAATTTTCTAGATGTTTGTGAAACTTGGAGGCTGATTTCTGTAATTATGGGCACTTGACCTCCCCCTAGTGTTCCTTCTCCTGCTATTCCAGCCTCTCAAGATTTCGATGGCGACCTTCTCCTGCTGCATGACCAGGCACTTGACCTCCCCCTAGTGTTCCTTCTCCCCCTGCCTCTCTGCATTCACGGCATGATCCTGGCATACTCCTCCTAATAGCTGCCGTGCACATATCCTGTCCCAGTTGCAAAATAGCACCCCTGCAAAAAATGGAGTTGCCCTAAGCGGATGGACGTGTGGATGGAGGAAGGAGGGAGGAGGGATGTAGAGGGAGGGAGGGAGCAGAGGGGGCCGGGGTGGGGGGGGGGGGGGGGGGGGCGAGGGGGGGGGCTGTCGGTCGGGGGGGGGGTGTCTCTCTGTGTGTTAGAGAGAGAGAGAGAGAGAGAGAGAGAGAGAGAGAGAGAGAGAGAGAGAGAGAGAGAGAGAGAGAGAGTTATTTACTTACCGGCGAGAAGTAAGATCTGAAATTTTTGTAATCTGCACAGGTAGAATGGTGAGAGCCAGAAAAATGGTTATGAGCACTACAAAGCGGCCCATCTCAGATGTAGGAGCACTTGGTCCATTACCAACTGTTAGGATCTGTGCCACAGACAAACGCATAGGAAGAGAATCCAGGAAATCAGACTTGAACAAATGAACAAAACAAATGTAAAGAAGAGGCAACCTTATGATCCTCACTACATCTGTTGTTGAGAGCAACACCCCAGTTTGCTATCTCTGGCAGGAATCATGGCTATACCTCACCAGGATCTACACACAATCCGGACACAGTGTGAACTTGGTCGGGATGGATCCAGCCATCTGGATGACCTGAGCCACATGGGACCGTTCAGACCACAATGCTTCTGGACAGAAAATGTCTGGATGCTGATATCCAGGTCATGCATGCCCATCAGCAGATAGGCAATGCGCAGAAGAACGGAATCACCAGCATGAAGAAAGACTCTTAAGGAATAATGCAAACAATGAACCGGAAAACCGAAAACGCACGATCAGACTCATCAGACTCAGGACTCGACACATCTCACACCATAGTCATCACGAGGTGCAAAGTGGGGAACATACATAGAGAAAAGAGGTGAGATGGAGACGAACTGGAGAGGAGGAAGTAGGAGAAGGGATCTTCAGCCCCAATGCAAGAGTTGAATAATAATACTCTCCCCCAGAGTTGCACAGGCCGACGGTCGGGCCCCCTCGATTGGTCGGCTGGCCGGCAGCTAGTCGGGGGTTGCCTGCACTCCACAACAATAAATAAACAAATTAATTAAAATTAATAAATTATAAAATAATTGCGAGGCTATGCCCGCTTAGCCCCTACGGGCCTTATTTGCAACAAGGTCGGCCGCCCTAAGCGAAGGCAGGCACGACAGGCCCTCAGGGACTCGTTTTCAGGGTACCCCCGCAAATGGGGAAATTCAGGCAGTTGCACAACATCAGTTGGTTGAATGAACTCAGGCCCTGGGCCGCCCGTGTGAATGAATGTAAAGCAGGCCCTGGGCTGGGTACGGGTACCGGGCCAAGCACAGGCCGAAAGCAGTTGGGCACATGCAACTACTTCAGGCCCAATGCCTGCATTCCTCGTGACTGGGCCTCAGGCTACCGGGGCCTACTGGAAGCTTCTTGGACTGGGCGCAGGCAGGACACTGGGATATAGGGAAGGGCCTGCCTCCTCATTGGACATTCGGGTGCTGGCTGCATGCGGCGACAGCGCTGCTGCGCTATTTGCTGGCTGGCGCCCTCGCACTCACGGGCGAGTGTGGAAGAAGCAGGCAGCCATAGCCACGCTGCCTGCTGTAAGCTGGATTGGGCGCAGGTTGGTCCTTGGGTGCTAGAGGCATCTGTGCGGTGAGGATCGGGGTTGAGAGCGAAGCGGGAGTCATACCTGGTGCTTGAGGCGAGCGGCATTGGCCGCATATGCTCGTACTTCGGTGACGCTGTTGACGTCAATTTCAGCATTGTCAATTATGAACTATTGCTGTGTTCTTATTTGGTATAACTCGTGATGCCATTCTGTTTATGGTTCGAGGTCATGGCTATCTGGTCACTCATGTATGATGCTGTTTGAGTTCTGGAATTCGCTATTGCTCATCTTCCTAGCAATTTGGTATCGGAGCTGTGGTACGATTGCGCTCATCTGGCGCTTGTCTTCTGCCTTATACGGTACATACATGCGGTCTGCTGGGAGAGTTTGGCCGTAAGTGGTGTGTAGTGAGGAGGGTGAAGACGAGTGGAAGGCGACCCAGGTGGTGAGGGGCAGCGCCTGGAAGGCTAAGGTGGGAATATTGGGTGTTCGTAGTGTGATGAGAACTATCTGTTTGGTGATTGAAGCTGAGGTGGAACGGCGAAATGCTGGTTGTGCCGATGCTGTGACTGGTCATCGCAATCATCTTCAGGTCATCTGGTGAGATTATTTCTGTGGTTGGGGGCAACATGAACGAGGTACGTTGCTCTTAACCTTACCTACCCTCTTCATCACTTCTTACC